ATGCTTTTTAGTGTCCTGTGGAACCTTGTAAAACCATTTTCAGATTCCAATGCCTGATGAAGTTCATACTATACTTCCCCTAGGAAGGGAACTGCTCTGCACCACAGCACTCCTGTTGCCAGCAGAATTACACCAGGAATGAATATGAATGAAGTTGGGGTTTTTTTTGTTTTGTTTAAGTTCTGAAAGATTGGATTTACACAACAAGCAAAGAGAGATCAGATGTTAGATTCCTCCTGAAACTCCTTCAGCTGGTTTGAATACTGGCATTGCTCCAGATAGCACAGCTGATGGAGGCAGTTCCTATAGTATGGATACTATAGAAATAAAAGCTTCTTTGAGACAATTCATCAGCAGGAGATAGCTTGTGTTTGAGAGGTACTCTCCTGATCTCACATAGCATATGTCTCTGTGGAGCTGAAAAAGGCTGTCAAGGAAGATCTCCTTTTCCAAAAGGCACGTTTGAGCCTGGCTTCTCAAGCAGATCTTTCTGTCATTCACAGGCACAGTTTTTCAAAGCTCTGTAGATTTTTAAAAGAACAGAAAGAACAGCCAGTAATTCTAAATTCTCTTAAATGAAAAAGTTTTCCCTTCAGTCTCCTGAGCATTTTTATTCCTTTTATCGTGAGTGCATTTGGATGGCAAGCTCAGCCTATAACTGGGGTGGTGGTGCTGGGGTGGTTAAATGCCTTAGGCAGCTTGATGTCACTAAATAAATAAATATATTGCCTTTGACTTGAAATCCCCACCTTGCTTCAGTCACATCTGGCTGCAGTTTGTCCAGTGCAGCCTGTGCCCTCTGGGAAGAAGTGTTTTAATAGCAAAGCAATGGGGACTCAAGGCCACTGGGTGATTTTAGAAAACTGGTAAAACCAAGACTCATGTGCAATACATGAAACTCAACAATCGAACAAAAACCTTGGTTACATTTCAACTGTAAAAACAGGGGGCAGATGACTCCTCAAAAGTCCTGGCCTAATCTTCAACTAGAGTAAATCAGGATGGCATGAGTATAATTATTAATGCTTACTCAACAACTCTAGTACTTGATGAGGAACTTTTTGGAAAAGTTGAACTAAATTCCCACATGAATTTTCACTATTCTTTAACACTGGGCCAAATTCTGATTCTTAGTCAGGTTCCAATAAAAGAAAACATTCATTCAGATAAATTCTTGCTTAAATTTTATATGTTCCAGCAGGAATCTTGGCCTATGGGGTGTTTAAAAGAGGGGTCAGTGAGAAGAGTACTTAATACCAGGAAAAAGCCAGGAAAGCCAGTTTCTCTCTCTGCCTATGTGACACAGTAACAAAAGAAACCAGAAAGAATTCCAAACCTCAGCATCAAAGGCAGATCTGAATTTACCCACAACTAAGGAATGTGCAGCTTCACAAAGCTTGAAACAAACATTTTACAAATGCAGGACTTACTGGCAAAATTTGTATCTCACCCCAGAATTTCATATACAATGATATAACCGTTCATTTTCATGGATGAAGGAGCCTATCCATCTCCTAGAGATGAAAAGCAATCTGAGCAAGGCCTTGAGGATCCCAACTGTCCTTGGGTAAAGAGTAAAAAAAATCCTTCTCAATAACAGACTTCAATTCTCCTACTATACATCATCCATTTTCAAATGAAGTGAAAAGTGGCAAGGAAACTGTTTATCTCTCTGAATCTTACTTGTCCTGGTCTGGTGAAATGTTAGACCCTGCTTTAACATTTACAACTTGAGAAGAAGAAATGAAGCTCAGTTTTCCTGTAATTTTCCTATGCCTTCTTCCCTAGAACCTGCTGGACGTAGCCATCCCTGCTCCTAATGCCAAATCTGAGGACTGCCATTCTCCTGTGAGCACGCTGGGCTATTTTAAGCAAACTCCATTCTAAGTCATGATTACGTTTAGAGTTGGGTTTAACTTTGGCTCTCCTGGCCACATTCCAGCTAGGATAATTATGTTCTGCTTGCTAAAATTCCCTATGTAGTTTCAGTGCAGAACAAGCTATCCCTCATACATCTCCCTACACACTTGTGCCTGTTGTTTTTAAACACCTGTCACATTTTACCCTGAGAGTGGCTGAAGTCTAACGCTGTGAAAACAATCCCTGCATTTACAGTTCGTAAAGTGCATTAGGATCCTTTGGGATTAAGAACATTGAATGCAAGAATAAATGAATGCAAGCTGTAATATTAAAAAATATATGAAACCTTATAGTAGTTGTTGCCATTGTTTTTGGCACTGCGTCCCCCCTCCATGAGGGACTTTTAACTACCCTGACAGATGCTGGAAAAGCAACACAGCAAAGCACAAACAGTCCAGGAGGTTTCTGGAAAGCATTGAAGACAACCTTCTGACACAGGTAGTGGAGGATCCCACAAGGAATGGTGTGCTGCTTGACCTAATACTTCCAAACAGGGAAGGCCTTGTTGGAGATGTGAAGGTTGGGGGCAGCCCTGGCTGCAGTGACTGTGAGATTGTAGAGTTCAGTATCGGGCAAGGAGGAAGCAGGGCAGCAAGTAAAAGTGTAACCATGGACTTCAGGAGAGCTGACTTTGGCCTCTTTAGGGTTCTTCTCAGAAGAATCCCATGGGAAAAGTTCCTCCAGGGAAGAGGTGTTAAGGAGAGTCAGCTGATATTCAAGAATAATTTCCTCCAGGGTCAAGAACAATGCATGCTGATGAGCAAGAAATCAGGCAAAGGGGGCAAGAGACCTCCGTGGATGAACAAGGAACTCCTGTCATTACTGAAGCAGGAAACACACAGGAGATGGAAGCAGGGTCAGGCCACTTGGAACAAATATAGAGAAGTTGTCAGAGTAAGTAGAAATGAGATGAGGAAGGCCAAGGACCATCTAAAATTAAATCTGGCAAAGAATGTCAAGGACAAGAAGAAAGGCTTCTTCAAATACATCTATAACAGAAGGAAAACTAAGGATAATGTGGGCCTGTTACTAAATGAAGGGGGGGCTCTGGTAACAGATGGTGCAAAGAAGGCAGAATTACTGAAAGCATTTTTTAAATTGGTCTTTACAGACAAAGTCAGCCCTCAGGAATCTCTGACCCAGGAGACCAAGGCAAAGAAATGTTGGAAGGAACACTTTTCCTTGCCCAAGGAGGACTGGGTCAGAGAACAGCTAGGCAAACCTGACATCCAAAAGGCCATGGGCCCTGATGGAAGGTATCCATGAGAGAGCTGATGGACACCATAGCGAGGCTGCTAACGATCATCTTTCAAGATCTTCAAGATATTCAGGAGCTGTCTGGACACAATCCTGTGCCATGTGTTCTGGGATGGCCCTGCTTGAGCAGGAGGTTGGACCAGATGACCCACTGTGGTCTCTTCCAACCTGACCCATTCTGTGATTCTGTGAACCACAGCTGCAGAATAGAGATAGTTCTTCAAACTGAATCCAGCAGGAAGAAGTGATCACACATCCATCTGATTCTTCCTGTAATGCACCAAGAGCACAAGCAACTTGCTGGGGTGCCAAAGAAAGGGCTACAACTGCCTCAGTGCTGTAAATAGATCTAGCCTGGTTCCTTCAGAAAAGTGTTCATAATCTAAACTAAAAGACTCAGCAGGTTCACAAAAGCAGGCAGGTGTTTGTAAGCAGTTGGCTGACTCTTCAAGGAAAGCAGATTGAATTTATAACATATCCCAGGTATCACATCTTTTAATGTAGATAAGATCTCCTCCTCTTCAGTTTGTAGAGGAGAGGGCCAAGGGTATGTGTGGGAGATACAATCAAGGTTTACAAGGTTATGAAAGTGATAGATAAGCTGAATGTGGAACAATTGATCACTAAATATCACAATATTAGAAGGAGAGGACATTGACTGAAAGCAGTGATAGATCATCTTAAAACAGATAGGAGAAAGTTCTTGTCTACACAGCAGGTAGTGAACATTTGAAACTTGTTGCCACAGGAGATTGTAAAGGCAGACAGCCTTAGTCAGGTAAATCCATGGACTGGTCCATAGAGGCAAAAAGCAGAAGTGTGCCCACTAATATCTCTAATTCAATAAGCATGAGTTTGGGAGCAGTAAAAGGAGATTGGAAAGCAGGAAATACCCAGGCTCAAGCACTTGCCCTCCTGTCAGAACCTGAATACTGGGTCAGCTGGTCAACAGGTATGACAAAATAAAGCATTTCTTATTCACTTATGGTGAGCATCACCAAAGAGCTCAAGGTAGGCCCAAGGACAGGACAGAGCCTCAAAATACTCCAGCATGGTCCAAGCTATAGCAGAGGTATGCTTAACACCTTTTTCAAGGAAATTAGGAGGGACTAACACATTGCCCCCACAGCATAAAGTCCACTCTTGTTTAGTCATACAAAAGGGAATATAGGACTCCTCTTGTCTATTCTTTCTCTCTGTGTTGGTAAAAAATACACCATATAATATGGTATTTCATAACCACTCTCTCACACATTCTTGAGCACCTTCTCTAACTACAATGGTGCAACTTCAAGGAGGCATTAATCCCTCCTAACTGATGTATTTCTTTGTCACTACAGTATTCTGTGCAGCATTTGAAGGGTGTAATGCAGTCTGTCAAATGGGAATTCTCATCAATGTATTTCTATTACAAGGCACTGTAAAGTGTACAAGAATCGTTAGAAAAATTGAAACAGACCAGTCATTTCCACTCTTTGGTCTACACATACTGGTTTTGATTATCCATCACCTAAGAGGGATTTTAAAATAAGAACACTGTTAGCCATCAGTTTCTCTTTTAGCTGTTATGCAAAACCAGATCTGCTTATCCTGGGCATCCTGTGCTTTATTTAAATCTATGTAAACACAGCAGCTCTTCGCTAATGTCCAGAATGAGTTTACACTGCAATTAAGATAAGAAACTGGATCAATAGATCTTCTGCAGCCTCTCCTTTCACCCACAGTGGGGCTTTCTTCCTCTTAAAAAGCCTGACATTTGCCCTGGTTTTAACCCATGAGTGCAGCCCAGGCCCTGATGCAGATGTGTGTGTGTGTGTACTCACGCCAGCCTAGCGCCGCAGTTTTCGCCTTCCATATCCGCTCCAGGGACGTTGTCTGTGTTCACGGACTCGGTCTCACTGGTGGGCATGCTCACTGTAAGAGTCAAAGGGAAGAAAAAAGAGAGGGTTGGCCATTAGAACCTGGCACGTCTCTTAGTGAGCCACATGAGTGAAGGAACTGGCTTAATGAAAAGACCCTCAGCTGCAGCTCCTGGGGATTAAGCAATTTGCTGAGTAAGTCTTGTGCCTCCCTGTACAGACCAGGCCGGGCAGGTAGACTTCAGGAACGTACCCAGGTTGCTCAAATGCTAAAGAAAAGAGAAGAAGCAGCTGCTCTTTTTCTTTCAGAGTCAGTTCCTGGAAACTTTATGAATGAGAACCATTGAAAAGCAGATGACCCCAACAAGAAGCTTCCGTTTGATTCAACAGAACACTTCAAAAAAGAGCCTCTTTACCTGTAGCAGCCCAACCACCTCACTGCCCTCCCCAATCTTTTGTGCAACGATTGAATACAAATGAAAGGTACCAGGATTGACACGTATGCAGATAAAAAGCTTCTATTAGCCTGATAGCAAATACCCCATCAATATACTGATGTATTTTGTATACTGTGTGTCTGTCACATCAATGTGTTTCAACCTTACAATTATAAACTGGACCTATAGGTATAAGAGAGAAATTAAGTCTGTCTGACCCACTCAGATACTACCAGCAAAGCAGCCAATGAATATGGACTATGGTGGAGATTTCACACTGGCACTCACCATCAAAGAACTGGACAGAACCTCCTAGGCTTTTACAGAAGTATCATGGAACAAACATCAACTGAAAGCAACCTTAGGTGTGAACCTATCTCATCTGGATTCAAGCACCTGTCACATTTTCTATCTGTTATCAAATATCAACATTTGATTTATTTCTACAGATCATAAAAAAAAAGAAAGAAAAAACACTTCACCAGTTGTTCGTGGCTCCTATATGAGCTCTAATAACTCCTTAATATATAATAATTCAACATAAGTTAGGAAAATGGATAGGATTTAATAGGTTCTCTCTTTCCTCCTCCCCTCTTTTCAAATACACAAAACAACTGAAAAAATTATACTTAAGACTGAGTGATGGTGGTGTTAAACAGATCTCCCAGAAACCTGGTAGAACTTCAGAACATGACCTGTATTAGCAATTGGATATATATATCAGATGAGACTTGAGGGCATGCACTACTAGCTGGTGGAGAAACTTCTAATAGCCTGTTGAATATGTAACTTAGTACTAAGAACACATCTGCTTGTGGGCTGTCTGTACAAAAGGAGACAATGTAAAAGAAACAGGTTCTGTATTTCAATTGGGCAGATGCCTAGAGGGCCATGGGACCAGGTCATCTTTCAGGGGCTAGAGAGATATCAGAAGGCTCTTCCAAAAGTATTCTGGGTTCTTGCTTTGAAAGCATTATGGCAGAAATGTCCCTCAAAATGAACTATCTTTCCTTCATCCCATCACAAAAATTCATGTACCTAAAACACACATCTGGGAAATCTAAAGTTCTTTTGTTGTGTTCTTAGGACCATATGAAATAATGGACCCTCTAGCACTCTCGACAGAACTATGGAATATTGTACTCTGATGGTGCCTTTTCCTTTATACAAAGACAGATGTTTTAATAATCTTGTTTATTTGGAAAGATAAATTAAGGATAAACTGAATTAATATTCTGAGGTATATGAAACAGTCAAGTAAGCTGTAAGAAAAAAAAACAACATTCATAATTAAAATTTTTGTCCAGACTAAGCCCTGCAGGCAAAAATCCCCAAACATTGATATTTTGCAAGTCATTTTTGAAGATGAGGTAAAGCACTTTCAAGACATATTTGAGCTTATTTGCAAATGGAAAACAATTTTGAAGACATTAGCAAGAGACTGATTTGCAGAGCAGCTTGTTATCTTGAGTGCATGAAGAGGACATTGCACAAACAATAGAAAAAGCAAGGCACGTACATGCAGAAGAATACAAAGCTGTATTACATGCCAGTCTGCACTGAGCTATACAGACACACATACACACAGATATACACAGTGTGGACACAGAGTGCAGTGCAACATTACCATGGGTTTCTGTAGAGTGACTAAACCAAGCAAACTTTCCTTTCTTCTCATCAGGCAAACCAGCTGGAGTGCTTCCTTTCACAGACAAGATGGTCAGTGTCAAGTACCAGGAACAAGACATCAATAGAGAACATGCAGCCAGTGACAGGCAAAAGAAAAAGACAAGGAACTCAGCTTACACATGATATCCACTTCTGTCTGAAAACTTCATCATGTGAATTAAAAGTACAAAATGTAAAACAAAGATATACAGAGGTATGAAATATCACTAGCAGATCCTCAGAGGATAACTCTTACTCGATCTATGCTCTTTTTTATGTCTGGCTTCTGAGAACATGAAGCTGATGAATATGAGGTTATGGGTCAGATCCTTTTTTCAGTGATGTCAATGGCAAAACTCTCTTTGTTTGAACGTCTGACCTATTGCAACTGATGAGACTAAGGCAATGGCAGTGTCCCCAGGTTAACCTCTGACCCTTTGGGTCATAATCTGAAATACCCTATGGTTGAATGAGGTTCATCGGCTTTCTTCCTAAACTGCTCCAGTATCTGGAGACTCTTCCAAAGCTGTCAGAACTGCTAAAGGAAAGTTGTAACGGTGATCACATTTCTCTGTCTTTCCTCATCTCCAGAGATAACAACATTCATTGAGCACTCAGACGCACACCCCCTTACCAAAACTAGGACACCCCTGGACTACGACTCACGATTTCCATTTGAGTTTACATTTGGCATTTGCCCCCTGATGCCATCCTGTTGCTTGGCTTTTCATGGCACTACTTAATGTTGATCCTTTGCCTATGAAGCACAGAGGTCCTCAGCCCCCACAGATCAGAGGTGCATGCACAGAGACATCCTAGATTGTACTTCACACTTCCCTGATGTTACTGCTGTGGAAAGTCAAACTGAAGTACAGTGAGAGATGCAGGTGCAGTGGCACATGGGCTGAAGAGATCCCATGGATCAGCGTGCAGCCACCAGTTCACAAAGCACTTAATACACTGCACTGATGGAAAACGTGAAGAACAATAAGTAGTATTAAGATGGTGTGAAGTATTACAGGAAGACAAAGGTCAGAACAGACAGGAGATTAGGACTACGTTCCCCAATGCAGAATGCTCTCAGCAGCACAATCACTTGCTTTACCTGGCACCTCACAACACCTTCAATACCACGGGATAATCAGGTGTGCAGATCCTGTGAGGTTCATTCAGGCCAGTTAACTAAACCTGAAAACAGAACTGCTGCAGAAGAGTTGTGTATAAACTGGGGCCGAATATGAGAGGAAGTACCAAATACTGCCCAGATGGCTTTCTTATCTGATTCAGTTCTCAGAGAACCCAGACTTTTTGCCTACACCCTGGCTCCAGTCTAGAAACAAGGCAGGAATTTTTTGCAGTACAAGTAATTAATTACTGGAACCATGTACCAAGAATGCTGGTGGTAAATCCACCACAGGAATGTTTTAATCAAGAAGAGATGTTTCTTCCAAATGGTGGGCTCAAGTCCAGACCAGAGCTGTATTTAGGACCATGGTATACAGACTATGCCATCTCAATGGCCACTTCCTCCCTGTAATTTTGGGAGCTGAGACAAAGGCAAAAAAAGAGACCAAGGCAGATTTCCTGCCAGGTGCACACAAAGTGATTTAGCAATGGAAATCCAGGTGCCTTGCATCCTATGGCATGTGTGTTCGGTGACCTACGCAGTCTCACAGGTGTAATTCCCTGTCAACTTCAAAATATCTGCTGCTTGTAACAAAATAAGAGATCCCCGGGGGTCTTGGCTCTGCTAGATGTAGAGGGACCACACCTCCCCACTTCCCAGCCTTCAAACAGCCCATTAGATCTTCCATCTACTGTATAATTTGCATTGAAGGTGCTTCAGTGTCCAAAACGCAGCATTAGCAAGGCACTGACTGACCCCTGTGCATGTTATTCAACAGCTCACCTAATCCTCTAAGGTATTTGGTCAATCTGCTAAGTACCAATGTTTTATACAGGGGACTTCCTGACAGTAGAGAACAACTCTGTTCCCACATCTATCCATGCTAAGTGACAGCAGGTTGCTGAAGGGGCGAGAAGGCATTTCCATCAGACAGCTTGTCTTTGCCTGATTGCACCAGGAGCAGCAGTCCAGCTAACAGGGCAATGGGCACAGAATGGGCAGCTCACTTCAACCAGACCAGTACAGCGAATCACTAACAACAACACAGGGACAGGTGCCATAGACTGTATTACATATTTCACAGAATCATGAATAGTTTGGGTTGGAAGGGACCTTTAAAAATCATTTAGTCCACTCCTCATGCCATGGGCAGGGACAAATGTCACTAGCTCAGGTGGTTCAAAGCCCCATCCAACCTCATCTTGAACACTTGCAGTGATGGTATATTCGTAACTTCTCTGAGCAACTATTGGACCTGTTCCTGGGGCAAACCCTGGTGGCTTTGCTTACATGAGAATCTCTTCTTTTAGATTTATCATCACATCCATAATGCACCCTGGCTGATGAAATCTCCCATTAGCTACATATTTTCTAGGTAGCATAGCATAGCATAGCAATTTTTTTCAATGGAATTGAAACAGCTTCTTAAAGGCATGCAAGTATTACATGGTTTAAACAGTGCAAACCACAAGGATCAGTAGGTTTGATATTCTCTCTACAGTGCCTTCTGAAGTCTTTGCACTTCTTCCATTTTACCACAGTGTGGCTCATCACTGAATGTAGACTTTTTCTCCTGGACTACCTAATGTCCAATTTCACATTACTTACATAGCATTCCTGCAGCAGTTAAAGCAACAACAAAGGCTATGTAGCAGCTTCCTTAAAAATAAAGCTGCAAAATGCTTCATGTTATGTTACTTCGAGCTCTGAAACCCAACAGACAGACCGAAAGACGGGCAGAGCCTGCAGTCTGTGACTGACTAGACAGACAGATGTGCAAGACCCTTTGAGAGCCTCTGTTCCATGTCACTGGCACCAAGTATT